TATTCAAGGGAGAGGGGAGGGGGAAGTTGCCTTGATAATGAGGAGGGGTGACTACTGAGAGAGAGAGAGAGAGAGATCTGGGGTTAGTTGGTGGAAGCATTTGAAGTTGCCTTGATATTGAGGAGAGTGACTGAGAGACATTCATTTTAGAGAGGTGGAGAGATCCGGGGTGCAGGGTGAGGGGGGTTAAAGTTGCCTTGATGTTGAGAAGGAGGATAAGAGTGACTGAGAGAGAAAGACAGAGAGTTTTATATGACGATTATAACCACAGTGTCCACGGCCACAAGGTGTTTTCTGCTGGGTGATCATATACAGTATAGCACGGATAGGTCGAACACAGACTGTGCCTGCTGTCCCGGCTTTTTTTTTCCTGCTTTATCTTTGTAAATATCCCTCGAACTACGGATCCCTCAAAGTACCGAGGCTGGTCCCGATGAATTCGAGCTATCCGTATTATACTGTATATAGACGTATATTACAAGTGGGGGGTTTTGTTGTATGCAATAAACCCCTGTATACCAACAGCCCCGTCAGCAGAGGTAGAACATGTGTCAGTTGTGGTATTGCTGTTGTTTTGTAATGTTTTGCATGTCGGATGGAATGATTAAAGTTGAAATGCTTATTATCAATGATTACATCTTAAGGTCTCCTGTAAACTTTTAACTTTGGCTAATAAAGATGTGTATTAGTTTCAGACATAGTTAGTAGTTGCCATTTTTGTTTCCCAGGATTGATATCTGCCTGTTGTCCCCATTGAGGGAGTTTGCTACCAAAGAATGAAGTAGGATCATGACTAAATATTTTATTTTTTTTACTTTGCCTTTACTGTTAATGCTTTTTCTCTTTTTGTTTGGCTCCACATGTGGACAGCAGACAGTTGCCCTGGCTGTTCCTAATTAATTCTTTTCTTTCCCACTTTAGCTTCTCTAACGATAAATGACTACTGTTGCACTTGCGTGCTTCTGAATCTCTTTACTCAAACCTTGCACTGGTAGGTCCTTTTTAAAATTCTTTTCTTTCCCACTTTTGTTTCTCTCCATTTTTCATGCTTATTCCCAAGTGCTAAATGCCCGTTGCTGCAACAACGTGCTTCTCTTTACTCAAACTAACAAGTGATGGCCTGCTTCAGCAAAAAATTTGTGGGTGGCTGGCGGGAGCTCTGGTGTGGTTTGCTCCTTTTTTCCTATCAAGCACCTGTCGTCCTTATCTCTTCCTTCTTTTTTGTGTCCGTATCTATTCTCTCGTGTAACACCTCTAATCCTCGGCACTTATGAGTTATTTGTGTTGCAATTGCTGTAAAACTCTTACTAAAACTAAAACAACAAATTTGGTGGTTTTTCTGTGACACGCCCCCCAGCTTGTACAATTTGTGCTAGAGAGACACGAGGGTTGGTCGCACCTGGTTTTTTGTTGTCCCCAGTCGTCCGCCAGCGCGGTCCGACGTTGTGGGTGGTTGGAGGGCTCTACTGGTAACGTAGGTCCTGCTTCTTTACTCTCCCTCTGTTGTCTCTGTCTGTCTGTCTTATTTTTTCCCCAACGCTAAATTATTACCATTATTGTGTCGATGTGCATCTTTACTCAAACTAAACATGATACAAAAACCATGATGTTTACCTTGTCATTGACCCACTACTACAGTGCTGCAGGTTTGGCCTGCGACACGCTTTCTGGAAGTAATTTCAGTAAGTCAATAACAGTAACAGTGTACATGGATATAGTTTTATTTTTTGCTCATTTCGACATTGTAAGGTTACCCAAGTGGCGGGAACTCGGACGTAGCGACTGAGCCAAGTTGACGAAGAGCATTTGTTACTCCACAGATTAAACCAATTTTAGGAATGGCCAATTGGGTATTCAAATAAAAGTCAGCCACACCCCAATCCACTTTGATTTTTATTCATGATAATTGATACCTATGGAGCGAATGGTGTGGTATCTCAGACTGTTTGATTATTTCTCATTTTATGAGTACAAGTCTACCCTGAAAGACCTTCAAACTGCCACCTTTATTCTGTATAGGCCCCTACAGTATGTATGAAAAAGTTAGAGAACAAAAAATATGTTCACTCTGTGCGTGCAATGTGTGTTTAGGAAACTTGTCTATGTATATTATACAGTGGCGTCCAAAAGAAATTTGAAAATGTAATCACCCAATCATCGCGTTAAAGCCTTGCACTATCCACTCATGCAGCATACCAATTTAAAGGTAATTTAATTCTGCATCATCTGACACATCAATATTTCATCTATATTAAGACACGCCCGAGATATGGTTACTCAAAATTGACTTTAAAATATAGGACTTTGCAAAATTGTGCGAAATCAAAGAATAGTAAAATTGTATTCGAGCGTGCATTGAGGAGCATCAATATTGATAGAATGGGTATACATTGCATTATATCCAATGTATGGAGAATTTTGTCTCTGCAATAAACAATACTGTATTTCATAGCGATAGTTTCAAACTCAAACAAAACGGAAAACAGAGCAATCACATATCATATAGATCTACCCCCGAAACTTGGACTTAACATTATTGTGTTCATTATTATTTTGCCCACAAGCCATTGGTTTGGTGTAGAGAACGAACACTTTGGGCATCGAATCTATTAAATTTTGGACATAATTACCTGTCATTTCAC